ATCTATACACTCAAGAGGGTTCAATAAGGCAGTCAAGCCAACCAGTCAAAACCCGTGCAGAAAAAACACACAAAGGTACAGAAAATAAATCAAGCAGAAATCATGGATCTCTATTAAGTAAGATACGACCGAACCTTCCAGAAGGATCAACAGAGGCTTTAAAAGATAAACTTAATATAGCTTTAGAAACTTCTAATGATGAAGACAGTGAATTGGGATACGATTTCGAAGATCTTTCTAATGAGGTTTCATTAGCTTTTGATCAAAGAGAGGATCCAAAAACTCAATCAAAAATAACATTAGTCACTTCAGCTCTATCGGATTCGTTGGTTGTACCTGCAGTTCAGGAAGCTCAATCAGTTCTATCTGATGAAGAAGCTCAAAAAGCTCAAGCTCTAGAAAATAAAAAAACTAAAGAAGCTCTAAAAGTTCTTGAAGCTCTGGAAGCCCTGGAAGCCCTGAAAAATCAAAAACCCCTGGAAGCTCTGACAGCTACCCTAATTCACAAAGCTCGTGATTCTCTGGAAGCTATACTAATTCAGAAACCTCATAAAGTTCAACTAGTTCTATCGGATTGGTTAGCTCACGAAGATCTGGAAGATCTGAAAGCTCTGGAAGATTTGGAATATCAGGAATTTAGGGAAGCTTTGCAAGCTCTGCAAGCTCTGCAAGCTCTGGAATCTCTGGAAAGGCAACAAGCTCTGGAATCTCTGGAAAAGCAACAAGCTCAGGGAGTTATGCTGTTTAAGAAAGCTTACGGTGCTATAATCAGAATACGAAATTTGAGGGTTAGCAAATCTTTTAAAGCCAGTCGCCTTTTAATAGCTCTGAAAGATCAAAAACCCCTCGAAGTTCTGAGAGTTATAATATTTCAGAACTCTATGGAAGCTCTAGAAGCTCTAAAAACTCTGAAAGCTCTCAAAGCTCTGAAAGCTCTAAAAACTCCGGAAGATCAGGGTGCTCTAAAAGCTCTGGAAGCTCTGGAAGATCAGGAAGCTCTGAAAGATCAGGAAGCTCTGAAAGCTCTGGAAGATCAGAGAGCTCTGAAAGCTCTGGAAGATCAGAGAGCTCTGAAAGCTCTGAAAGATCGGGGAGCTCTATTAATTCAGAAGGCTCATGATGCTCTAGAAGCTCTACTAATTATGAAAGCTAAGAAAGCTCTACTAGCTCAGAAGGCTCATCGTGCTCTAGAAGCTCTACTAATTGAGAAAGCTGAGAAAGCTCTACTAATTCAGGAAACTTTGT